TTTAGGGTTCTTGGTTTAGGATTTAGGGTTGCGGGTTTAGGGTTCAGGGTTGTTGTGGTTTGCACACGCGACACGGGCTGCAAGTAGATCTTAGCACCCCAACCCGATACAGCCCTTAACTCCAACTTCCAGACCCCTTAAACCCTAAGCCCGATTAAGCCCAACAGCCCTGGAGGAGTCTAGACTTTAAATTCGTGGGGGTCGTCTCGCTTGTCCTTCTGCGAGAGCCCGCGGAAGCATTATCCTAAAGAGATACTATAGCCAAAACCTACTGTACACGTCTGAACTGTTTGTAATCATATTTCCCTGCACTCCCCAGTTAGCTTTAGTTTAGTATAGTATAACCCAAACCCATCCAAAACCCTGTCTTGAAATTTACATGATTTTCATCATAAATCACCCTCAAACCCTAGTCTACTTCGTAAGCTCCCTATGCAAAGTCCTAGGCCTTCAACCGTATATGGGTAGTTCTCTAAATTAGGGTACTCGTTGGGGTACCTAATTTAAGAGTGCCATACTATTTGGGGGACTAAAGAAAGGACAGTGACTATAGGTACATGGACCCTTGGGACGGCTGGCTAACAAAATGGCGCTGGAGCCATATGTGGAAACTTTCCGCCCCAGACCCGAATTGTTGATATAGAGGTCCGAACCCTAAACCCTAAACCATCCCCCCAAGATGCCTTGAGTAGTTTGTTTCGCGAAGGTATACACCAGAAGTGACAGTTCAAGCAGCAACAAACAGCAAACATCTGCAACAAATAAAAAACATCAGCAACAAAAAAACATGTTTCGGCAACAATGACTTGCGCTTGACTCGAGCCGTTTCGGCTGACGGAGCAAGGAAGGAAGGCCCTCCATGGAGGCCTTGGCCGACTTTACAGGTCCGCCCAGCTCTGCTGCTTTCTGCGTCGTTTTATTGGCCGAAACTTTGATAGGGTTCTTAGGATACGGCTTGGGATTGGGGGGGTTCCTTCGTTTGGGTGTTGAGGGTCAGGGGCCCAGAGGCGCGGGGATCTTTACGGATCAAATCTGTACATGGGCCTGCATTGGGGGAGGGGGGGATTGGGGTGTGGGCGCTGGGAACCTGTTAGAGATTGAGGATTAGGGCTTGGGTTTTTGGGCTTCAAGAAGTCTTCTTTGGACCAGGAACCGAAAATTTCCGAAGCTCTAAACACCCCAAACCCCAAAGCTCTAAACTCTTTGACCCGAACCCCAAATCCTAGACGTTCGGGCTCTGCACTTGGGGTGAACTTTGAGGACGAGCTGATTCTTGGGTGCAATTCGTCGTGGCCGGGGACATCTTCGACTACCTCTACAACGTCGACGAGCTCTACGGAATTGCTGTGGCCTGCTGATGTTGTGCGCGACGTGGTCAATGTTCAAGCAGTTCTTGCCGGCGGGGCTGATCGCGTGCAGATCTTGCAGAGGCTCTTGGAGAGGCAGAGGCGTCTCAGGCACGTACAAAGACTTGTGGAGGAAGCGATTGAAGAGCTGACTCGCTGGTTGGCTTACCCGTCTGCGGCCCTCTCGTTTAATGCTGCCCGCATGGAACGAGAGATATGGCAAGCTGCTCAACGTGAGGCTCAGTTTGGGTCTGCTAGGTCCACGTCTACTTCTTCCAGGCTGGCTTTGACTCCGACCTACCTTTTGATGCCACAGCTGCCCTTGAGTACGCGCGAAGTCTGGAGACAGTTCCCCACTGGGACGCCACGGTCCACCATCATCAGCTATCGTCGACGTGTATGGCAAGCGCATCTTCGTGATCTTCATGAACGTGAAGGACTTGCTCTTCCTGCTCCGGTGGTGACAGAGGAGCCGCTGTACATCCTCCAACGAGACGAAACTCACCCGGTCCGCAACCTTCCTGAGGGTGAAGTTGTTCCAGGCGTTCGCCGGCTGAATCGTACAGGAGCGTATGGTCGTCGTCGCCACTGGAATCCTCGCCCGCCGCCGCTACTACGTGATCGTAGTCGTGAAGTGCGCCCTTCCCCACCTCGTCGCGTACATGTTCCGGACCCGCCCGACTTTGTGCGCTCTTCCACTCGTGAGCGCAGTCGCAGTCGTGACGCGCCGGCGTCTGCTGATGTGCCCTCTGAGGCTGAGTCTGCAGATGTGGCTGACGAGGGTGCTGGTGGGAATGGTTATCGAGATGATGACGGGAGCTCACACGTTGATGACGGTGAGGAGTGAGCTTCTGCTGTGAGGTGCGTGGTGATGTAGTGCCCTGTACACCTTCTGCCTTCGGGTGGATTCTGCTGACTCTGCTGGTGGAAAAAGGTGTTTAAAAAAAAAACCCGAACGTCCTAAACCCGAACGTCCTAAAAGCAGGGTTCTGCAACGTAGCTGTTTTGAGCGGTTTAGTTTAGTAAGTTGCAAAACAGCTCGAAAAGGATGATTTGTGCTGGGATTCTTCATGCGATGTTTGCAGCCGCCACGAAGACGCCCATAAGCGCCAAAACCATATGCAGGCCCGAATGTGCTAAAGCCCGAGACCAACTTTCTGACTCCTGTTGTAAGTCTGCCGAAACTTCCTTCCAGCCTACAAGCCACCGGATTTCCGACGTCACCCCAAGCCGCTCGGGTGTTGGGCTTTG